ACACACACACACACACACACACACACACACACACACACACACACGCACACACTGTGCAGAGTCCTACACTGTGCATCACAAGCAGACATCAGTACCAAACAGCTTCACACACACCAAGCCTCTCTGTCGGAAGCAGAGCCGACAGCTTCAAAAAAAGGGTGCATCAAACTGTCTCACTCGCATGCACAGGCAGACGGAGGGTAAACTACACACACAATGTGGGAGGATCTGACATATACTGGCAACTAGCGACAGAGAAAGAGAGAGAGAGAGAGAGAGAGAGAGAGAGAGAGAGAGAGAGGTCATATGAGGGGATGAGGGAGAACAGCGGGGGTGAAAGGGATGGACACTCGCATGCATACAAATCATCAGACGTCAAAGAGCATGCAAAGAAGAAAGTTACACAAACAAACCTGCATGTATTGTGCAAGGTAGCTTCAACTATTTAGTGAAATAGTGATACTGCGAGATCAACAGACAAACCCTAAAATGCTACAATTATACAGAGAAAGACACTTCAATGCGAGCACATTTCCCTTCACACAGCGACAGGCTTCATATACAAACAGGCTGGAACATGCAGCACAAAATGTACAGACATTGTATTAGCCCCAAACTGTGTGTGAGAGAGAAAGAGAGGCAGAGAGAGATGCACTTTGCACCCAGACAGACCGAAATACTGAGAGATCATCTGAGGAGAAGGAAACGAAAGGCAGAGAGAGAGATGGAGATGGATGCGGAAGAAGGGAGGGAGGGATGTGGGAGAGGAGATGGAGAGGAAAAAGGAGAGAGACAGCACTGCTGCAGTGTGAACCCTTTGTCCCTGACGCATCTCTCACACACACACACACACACACACACACCAAAATAGATATAGCATGCAGAAGGAATGTCATATCAATGCCTGGCAGCAGACTCTCAGACACACACACTGCACAGCTCCCATTCACACACACACAGTGTTACACGTGTCAAAGTTCAGTAACAGTACATGTGCCATTTACTTCCATGTTTCTTTGTCTCATCAGAGCACACACCTGAACACACACCTGGGCATGTTTTTTCACAGTTAACTGATGTTTTATAGACCAAAACAATGATTGAGATAATCGAGAAATAATCAATCATTAGTTGAAACCAATTGCCTTGTTTCATACATGGGGCTGTAAAGTAAAGTTTACACCAACTAGACTTTTGGGCTTGGTGCTCAAACCATATGGAGGATTTTTTGAATCACCATCCTCAAAGAAAGTAGTCCCTTCTCTTCTCCTTTACAGCATCCAAGTGTGTTAACAGTGTGTATTAGGTGAGTGCATAAGTGCCAGTGTGTGTGTGTGTGTGTGTGTGTGTGTGCGTGAGGGCAGCAGACTCAGATGTGAATCGAGTGTCAGGGGCACAGAGTTCAGACCACTATGCCATCCCTCTCTCTCCCCCTGGCTCAGCTCTCCCTCCCTGCTTGCATCCTTCCTTTTTTCCTCTTCTTCTCCTCCCCTCCACCTCTCATCCATTCATACCTTTTTACTCCTCCTTCTCTTCTCTCCCCCTTATCCATCCTTACCGTTGCTCTTCTTTCCTCCCTCTCTCTTCTTCAATCTCCAACTACTTCCTCTTCTATTTCCTTTTTTCCCCTCTGCTGGCCATCCCCTCTTCCTCTTTCTCTCTACCTCCCTTTTTGTCATTCCCTAGGTCTCTCCCAGTGAGGCGACCCGCTCAGACGTCAATGAATAATTCAGACTGTGTTGCACTGCAGGTTTTCCCCGCACCTCCCTACTCTGCATCATCCCTTTTTTTTTGTAAACACAGGAAGAATTTTTTTTTATCTCCGTTGCTGTTAATTGTTTGATTCTTATTTTAGATGATTGATTAAATGAACAAGCGCACATAGTATTTCAGCGTGTCGGTGTGTGAAAAAAGAAAAGCGAAGAGGGAGAGATCCCCTTAGTGTTTAGTATTCTGCAGCTCTCTTTCTGGGTGTGTGGTGTCTCCTCTCTCTTTTTTTCACACAGACACACGCACTTCTAGAGGAGGAGCCACTCGACAGCAGGGCTCTCCCACTACCCCTCCCAACCTCAGCACACACCTCCATCAGCATCGCCCCTCTCACCCCTCCATCTATTTTAGTTACTACTGGTAACCAAACAGACCAAGTGAAACATTATCTGAGATGTTAACAGTTCAATAATCATAAAGACAAAACAATACTGGAGACTTTGAATTTCGGATGATAAGCGTAAATTAATTCGACTCCTCGGTTGATCTCCACGTGGCTCAGAAGGATGAACTGAAGCTGTTGTGTCCAAAGTCACGTTCAGGAGCAGTCGGTCACATCTTGTCACTCAAAAATGACTTGTAGGCAATAAGCAGTTTGAATAATAAAAATATTCTATCGTCATTACAGACACATTAACCTACAACAGACAGTACGATGTAGATGGATTGAAATTCACTGAACTTAGAAGCGTATATCCACCTCTTCACAAAAAATACTGTATCATGCTGCTAAATTACAGTAGTCAGCTGTTATTGTTAATTTACGGCATTTTTTCTTATTATATATATGTTGTCTAAATGTTTTTTTATCTATTGCACTGTATTCACTTTATATGTTTATATGTTTATATGTTTATATGTTGGACTGGAGAGAAACGTCTTTTCAACTCCTCTGTATGTTCGTTACATATTGTGGAATTGACAATAAAGCAAACTTTGAACTTTTTGAACTTTAAACATAACTGTTAATTGACGGCATTGACTGTTAATTTACATGCGAGGGATGAACATTTAACTGTATGTTACAGGTATTATGTAAAATACCATTGAAAATCCACCGTTTTCATCCATCCAGATTTCTACCCTCAAGGCGTTTCTCCTCATGGCTTGGCTCAAGTCAGGCATGTAGGGCTTGTGGGCCCTCTCGATGTGCGCGATCTTGGAGCATGGAACCACTTCAATACTGCCTCCACATGTCCACACCCGCATGAGCAAAGAAACAAGAACAAGAAGTCCTGGAAGTGATGGTACGGCCCCCAGAGAGCCCTGATCTCAACATCATTGAGTCTGTCTGGGATTACATGAGGAGACAGAAGGATTTGAGGAAGCCTATCAGGAACTCTGTGGCTAGTTCTCCAAGATGTTTGGAACAACCTACCAGCCGAGTTCCTTCAAAAACTGTTTGCAAGTGTACCTATAAGAATTGATAGTTTGAAGGCAAAGGGTATTAACACCAAATATTGATTTGATTTCGATTTTTCTTTTGTCCGCTCACTTTGCATTTTCTAAACAATTATTATTTATATTTTTCAAAGCATTCTTCGTTTACAGCATTTTTTCACACCTGCCTAGCACTTTTGCACAGTACTATTAATATATATATACAGTATGTATATAATCCTGTTGAGCAGGCAAAGGTGATGGGAGCAACAAAGGGTGGGGGCGGGAACAGCTGGTGACGCAAACAGGAAGTCCTCTGTAGGTTAGACCGTCTCATTTCGCAGACCGCTCGGCCCAGCCTTCGCGGTGTTCAAAGGACGCGGCCCATGTAGACCGCGAAGGCTGGGTCCCGGTCCTCCCGAAGGATGCGGCCGCTGAAGAATTGAGACGGTGTGCGATGGGCGTTTGAAATGTCTGTAATGCATTTGGAGACAATAAGGAAGCCAGTACAGGTATTTCTATTCTTTTATTTTGTTCATTTCAGATAACATCAGCGTTTGATTGTTAGACTGAAAAATTGTGTCACCTTACTTTTGAAACCCACCTGAATGTATTATGTGGATTTTCCCGTATTTGTTTTTTTTAAACCCACTTTTAATACTTAAAACGGTGAATTAAAGGGGTATTCTCACTATGACATAATCAGAATAAATAGCATTAAAATAAATTCACTTGCCTATCCATAACCTTGATCTTCTATATTGGGAAATCAATGCATTTAAAAACATTTAAAGTATGTTTCTCGTATTGCTTTCATTTAAAATATTACCAGAAACAAAATGAAAATAAATAACATTATAATAGCCGAGTCCTGTAATTTAAATATAACGCGTTTGAAGTTGAATTACTAAATCTGATAAATACTTTGTGCAAAGATGTAAGTAAAGTGTGACAGGAGCGAATATGCATAATTTATGTCGTGAAAATAACATTAACGGTACTTTAGGGTTAGGTAATACATTTATTTGATCAAGTCATAAAACTGAGAGCCTGTGCTGGAAAGTCTTCTGATATGATATTGAGGTAAAGTGAGTGGTTAAGCAAGAAACACAATAAATCTCCCCTCGGTGTAAAATTGTAAAAGCAGCACGCGCCACCATAGATGAGTGACACTGAACCAACTGGCTTTTACAATTTATCTATTTATTTATTGTAAAACTGAAGTTTTGGATTTTTGTTGTGGTTAGCAGCATCTCCTGAGATTCACTCTGGTTAGGTCCTTTCAGTGTTTAGGTGCTGCCCTCTGTTGCTACAAAGGTGGCATTGCAGCTGTGTTGTTGGAGCAAATGTCAAATACCACTGGAACATCAAGTCAAAACTGTGCAATAGAGGCAACAAAGGCAAATACCTTAAGGGGGTGTAATTCAATGTTGTTAGTGACAAACGGTCTATTCTCATTTAAAGGTGATGTAGAAAATGTTGTGGCACTCTATCATACGTACATTAATGTATATAACTTAGAGCAAGTAACTTGTCATTGTGTTCTTCTCCCTCACACACATTAAAAGACACATATTCCATCAGATTCAAAGATAATAAACAGATAAGGTTTCATTTTTTTTATGAAAAGTTGCAATCACAAAACATCTAAAAAATAGCAGTTCAAATTCTATATCTTGATGGTCCTTCAATAATGATCCCTTTAAAACATAAAATAATGGTAAATACTTCAACAAGCAGGCACTTGCTGCTAGATTTTTTTGTTTGCAGGGAATACTCAACCTCAGCGTCTCAAGTATTGCATCACAAATGGGATTGCTTTGTCCCCTCAGTGCTTGATTGATGCAAGAGCCAGAACTCCTTAGAAAGTGATTTCACAATTAAATAACACCACCCGGGTTGAGCTTCATTTACAGAAAAGGTTTGAGTCGAGGCGACGTAATTAAAAAACTACAAAAATGTTTGTGTAACCGGGGACAATTGAGGAAAGAGGTTCATTTAAAGAGGATTGGGACGATGTGAAAAAAAACACAGACTTCTGACATTAAGATCAAAATCTCGAGGTCTTCATATGTGGCCTTAATCCTCTTCTGTTAAAAAAAGACAACCAGCACGCATCAATGCCTCCCTGAATCACTCTCCACATACTGCTGGTCAGCTTGGTGCATATAAAGCATATGATTCAGTATTAAACACGTGTAATATACAGTACATGTAAGAAATGTGCAGAGACGAAGGTTGGTCGGAATTTGCATAAAAAGAGGTTTGAGTATACTTTGGCTGATGTTGTACTTAAGTTAAACCTAGAGTTTTGTATTAAGGATACAGTTCTTTTCCTCACCAGGAACAGGTGGTACTTGCTCCCTCTCTGCCTCTTTTTTCTCCTCAAACACCCCCAGGAAATCCCAGGACTGAGGAATTAGTTGGTGACAGAAGCCTAGCTCCACCAGCCAGGACACTGTAATAATACATGTCACAGAGGACAGCATGGCAAGAGTCCTGAAGGGGAAGTACTGTACGATAACTCTGTCCACCTCCCTCCAGCCAGGGTACAGGATGAGAGGAGGGATCCCAAGCAGCGGCTCCCCGCTCAGCCCACGCAGCAGCAGTCCTACTAAATAGCCGCTGATAGCACCGTAGCAATTAGCGCAGCCTAAGTGCAGTACGCATACGAGCTGCGGGAGGATCACGCAGTAGAGAAGGTCCCCGCTTACCAGCCAGAGGCCGAACACGCTGTCTTCAGCAAAGGCCAGGCCTGATCCAGCCAGGCCCACCAGCACAACGCTAACACGGATCACCAGCTGCAGCTCCCGCTCCGAGGCCTGCAAGAACAGCAAGGAGAGGGACAATAAAAATTCGGGGCCTTTGCATTGTGCTTAACCAAACACACACACACACTCACACACACTCGCACACACCTGCTTCCTCAAAGTCGCCTTGTATATGTTTTGTGTAAACATGGATGCTGAGGACAGCAGCACAGAGTCCATGGAGGACATAACTGCTGCCGCCACAGAACCAATGCCTAACACTGACAACCAGGTGGGTGTGAGGTAGTGCAGGGCCAGTGGCAGGATCTTCCCTGCCTCCCCTCGTTCAAAAGGAGGGGGTAGACCATACTCTGTCTGGTTCCAGTCTTAGAGAACAGGAGAGGAAGAGAGAGGAGCAGACATAGAGGTAGAGAAAGAGACAGTCAGGGTCGAGAGGAAAAGAGTAACGGCAGGGGAAGAAGCTTTTAAGATTATGGTGATGGCATCAAAATAAAATTAAGCACTGGGGAGAAGGAGGCAAAATATTTGAAAGCAGGCAAATGTCCCACCATAATTTTCACACACACATACAAGTCATCCCATGCCATTAACCATGGTACTGGGGACCTAACTGAACATGTCGTCTGATGTCAAATATATGAATGCTTGGTGTGTATACTGTGCGTGCGTGTTGTACATGCATGTATACCTGCAGAGGCCGCCACTGCTCCAATGATAATTGAGGGGAGTCCCATAACTAAAACTGTCCCAGCAGCAGCAAAGCAGGTGACCTGAGCCTGAGCAGAGGAGGCTGCAGAGAGGATCCTCTGGTAGAGAGCTTGATAGGCCAGTCCCCCTAAAGCCTAAAACATGCACGCACAAAAACCACAAGCTTTGTCAGTGAACAAGATGGATGGATGATTGTGGCCTTAAATTCTATTTTCTCAGTCTTGATTCTAAGTCTAGTTAGCGCTACATGATTTCACAGAATAACAGTGAGAACAGAGGAGCAGCTACAATGGCTCAAGGTATCTTGAACTTGAAACTAAAGTGTTATTTCAATTGACTTTTATCACAGAACACATTTTGGCATGTCACAGGAGGAAAAGCACTCACATCGACATGGCTTACTAAGACACTTGAATAGAACATTTTGATATTATTAGCTGCACACGAAGACATCAGATAAACATGCATGGGTCGCGACAGGTCATATGGTTAAATGATTATCTTGTTCAAATAAATAACTAACAAAAAATAGTGATATTCTGAGACATTTTGGTAGATTCAGACAAAATTCCTGGGAACACTGATGAATTACAGGTTTTCAGGGATGTATTGGAAGCCAACAATAGAGATATAGTATATTCATGGACTGTATAAAGTATGGACGTAGTCGTCACATGCTTAGAGTGGTAGGCTCCTGCCGTCACCATCTTGGCAGCGATGATCAATTATGCCTAAATTTAAGCAGTAATATAATTTAATCGGGTGATTTATTCTAAAACTTCACATCCCTGCAGTTGTGAACAAAACCATTTTGGTACCAGGCCGTAAACATATTTTTGCTATGAAGTTGGTTATTTTAAAATGGGGGTCTATGCAGATTGACTCACTTCTGAGCCAGCCCCAAGTGGCCTTTTGAGGAACTGCATTTCTCAGCACCAGAGGTTGACACTTGAGAATATCCTGTCGTTGCATTTGTGCAATGATACATCTATGGATGTGTTATTTCAATCCTGAAACTCCACTGCAATCACACACAGTGAAACAAAATACAATTTAAAGTCTAACCAATAACAGCATCTCATCCGCCCATTTTCCTGCATCCTCCAGCTTCAACTCTCCGATCCATGACTTTCCAATTGTTTGGTTGAAGTGGACTGTGTGCGTGATGTCAGTAACTCCAGGGCTGAGTATCAAAAAAGGAATACAGAGCCACTGAAACAGAAAGAAACAGCTGTTATAGCAAAACTGGTGACAAGTCAGCTTTTGAATTACTTACATTTCTCAAAGTTCTTCAACTTGAATGCATTCACTCTGAACCCCGAAACCCGCTGGTAATTGCCCAAATTACACCATTTATCCTAGCCAGAAGCTGTAAAGACAGACGTAAATGCGTGAAAAAGGCTACTGAACACAGAGAGGTTAAGAGTAGAGGTTGTAAAAATGTAAATAGTTCAATATGCATAGGACATGGAGCCCCCCTTTTTTTCCATTGTCGGTAACATTTGTGGGCACTTGGGAAAATGTTGGATGAATAGATTCCACTGTTTTCCAATTTTTGTGAAATAAATTATCAAAGATTTTCTAAAAACTTCTTGTTTTGTTATTGATTTCTGGTCGTTTTATACTTCTCAAAAGACAATTTTGAGTTGAACAGTATTTCTGTTGCCTTCCCTCCATCTTCCTCGCTCTCTCTTCTTCAATTCTGTCACTCGCTCTGTATTTCTCCCTTTCTCACCAGGCTGATGAAGATGAAGGAAAGCTGGATGATGTCGGTATACGCCACAGAGTAGAGGCCACCCAAAAATGTATAGATGATGGAGACAGCAGCAGAGATGACGATGGAGATGGCAGACGACAGCCCAAGAATGATGCTCATTGTTCCTCCTGGAAGTAAAACAGAACATTAAATCAGAGATGCTCTACAAAAATATGCAACGTGACGGACTGTGGCAGAATCATAGCGTTAAGTTTGCATGAAGTGTTACTTACCCAGAGCAGCAAGGATGCAGGCAACCCACAAAATATCACTGACCAAAGCAGGAAGCAGCAGTGTTGCAGTGAACATGTTGCCATAGCGATGCTGAAAGGGATCCAACATGGTCACGTAGCGCTTAGACCTCATAGGTTTTGCAAAAAACAATCCTCCTTAAGAAGTAGAGTAAATAAAAACAACTGTTGAAGTGAAATATAACTTGAAATGCTTTTTTTTTTTTTTTGCTTTTTTTTTTGTCTAAATAAAAATATTCTAATGATTCAAAGCAGAGCAGGAATGATCAATCAGTCAATTAGTCGTTAATAAACAATGGAGACAAATGCAACAAATGATAAATCATTTAAGTCTTTTTTTTTTTTTTTTGCCGCAAAAATCCTTAAAATGTGAATATTATCTGGTTTTCTCACTCTCATTTTAGAGGTCACCATGGCCACTGGAGACCGGACATTTTATAGTCAACAATGAAAGAAATGCTGCATGTTTGTGCACCTCACAGCAAGAAAGTCGTGGGTTTGGATCTGACTGAAAACGCCTGTGTACAAATTCTCCCTTTGTTGTTGGGGGGGGTTTCCCTCCCACAGTCCACAAACAAGCAGGTTAGATAAAGTGGAATTTATTTTAAAATTGTCTGTTGGTGTGAATATGTACATGTGAATGTCTGCCTGTAGGCCCAGATAGAGCAGCAGTCTGCTGTAGGGTTGGCAGACTTTGGGTATACCCTACATCTAGTCCAATGCATGCTGAGATAGATGAAAGGCCACAACAAGACTAGTTAAAGATAAGCAGGTTAAGAGTTTGAAAAGATGAATTACATTATGTGATACATGAGTGTGTGAGGCTGAAAATACAACCACAGGGTGCTACTAAACAAGAAACAACCTTGTTAAAATGCCAGACAATGTTTTGGAGCGGTATAATAAGTTAGTACAATAGCCTTCACCTCTCCATCTGCTGTGTGTTATCATACAGAGGCTTCATTTGTTTTTGCTACTTACCCAAAAGAAAATTGATAACATAAGCAGGAGGCCCCATAGCCCAGATGAGACCTTGAGAAGGAGAATAAACAGCCTCAGCAGTTCCCATAATGTAACCTCCTCCAACCCATGTCGCTAAAAGAAAAGCAAAGAAAATAGTCAAGCAAAGACCGTAGCACAGTGAGAGGAGCTTAGAGCACACACCATAAGTACATCGAGTACCGCTCAGAAAAAGTTCTACCTGTCATGGTGAAAACCCCGACCAGGACATTGATGTTGCGGCCACCGACCATGGCAACTTCGCTCTTAGTGCCGGCACATGTCTTCTCCAATTTCTTGGATTTTCGAGATGCCCAGATCCCAATTGCCAGGATGACGATATAAAAAACCACCACGGTCACGAGTCCGGGGACATTCACTGCCATGATTGTCTGGTTACACAATGCAACAAATAAAACACAATAAAAACATGTAAGTAAACAGCAAAGAAGCTCATCATTGAGCACAGAATGACAAGACTTATGCAGGAGTAAAGTATTAAAAACATGTGTACAGTCGCTCACTTGACAGGCTGCTACTTGAGACTCACACAGAACCATGGCATTACCGGAATAAGCACATCTGGCAGAAATCCTGACTAAACAAGCCGTATCAAGGCTGTGAAAGGGGCTCACAAAGGGGTGTGGGTGGCCCAAGAGAAAGCAGCGCACACATCCTCTGCTGTGCTGCGTTCTCACAATGCCGAGAAAGATGTGAGAGCAGAGGATGCACCTGCTGTTAAATAATCCAAAATTATAACCTCTGCCATTTTTCCAGAAGCCATAAAGTTTGACAACACAACGAGCAAATAGGCGATTAAAAGAGGGTATCACACGGCTACACATAGATAACTTGCATCACGTGCCCAGGGCGAGGCTACCATTGAGGACCCTGATGTTGTGTTCTTCTCCTGGGAATTTGATCCAGTATTTTTCCACCGAGATTCAGTTTTTCTCCACCAGAATTTCTTTTGCAGCAGAGCTTTGAAACAGTATGTAGATCTTCATGTTTGGGAGTTATTTCAAGTGCTTAACTTTAAATCCAGGTCCGTAATTTTCAGGTAAATTCACACTAGCTACGTAATTTAGTTCAGCAGCAGTTATTTTAGTTTGAGTTTACCAGTTGTTTTCCTTTAAAGTACTTCTGCAGTTAAATAGAGCTGGCATAGAATATAGTTGGCAGTTAACTTAAATAACTGGTTCTTTCAGCCACATTGTATCCCCCCCACTGTTCAATTGATTTGCTAAGTAGTGTAGGTTGTCAGTAATGTATCCTATGCGCTGTAGTTTGTTAATGACAGAAGATCTTTACAGACATTGCTCTTCCTGGTTGCCAAAAGCAGGTCATCTTGGCTCTGATAATAAACTATGTGTCACCATAGACTGACTGATAACATCAGTTGCATAATGTTATTGTTAGTAGTTCTTGGTTTATCTGTTTTTTCACTGTAAAATGTCCTTTATATCTTCATAGTAGCAAAATCAATACCAATCTTCCTCATTGAATCACTGTAATGATTTATAAATCAAAGATAATAGATGAAATAAAATAATCCTTTGTTAGTCCCACAGCAGGGATATTAATTATTATTCTGATATATTACGAAGTCACTTGGTGAGTTGTATTTTCTAAAATGTTTAACATAAGCTAAATCATGTGAATCTGAATATCGTAAAGAATAAGCAGCACAGAATAAGAAGCACATCAGTGGGCTGTATTTTTTTAAATATGAATACTATTTCATTATGTAAAATAGCAATACCACAATGTAACCAATACAAGTAAAAGTCTACATAATTATGCAGGCAGAATTGTGGCTTTCAGGGTATTCAAATGTTGGATAACACTGTTGTATTTATATGTAAGCAGGAGAGGAGGGGCTGTTTTACCTACTTAAGATGGTTTCATCTCCAGCAAAACATTATATTTTATAAGCTAATCATGTGTTTTGTAAGAAACACTTGCAACGCAAATATAGCTGTTAAATACATGTATATTAGTGGATTTAAAAGTACATGTCTCTGTGAGATGTAACGTTGTATCAGTGCAGTTCCCCCCCCCCCTCAATACGCAGGGACAGTGTAGGTAACATTTAAAAAGGTTAAATACCTTCTACCGTTACTTAGGAGCCCTGAATAAGATACCTCTTCAGCCGACACGTTAACCTTTAATTAATCAACCTAACGCAACCACACACATTGAGAGAAGCCTTCACTGATAATACATCTATAATAACAACTATCATTCATGTTTGTTTTTATCCTGACTGTTATATACATGTGTGTACCATTAACGTTACCAAGATAAATCGTGTTTATCTCATAAATAACGCCTTTGCATTGCATTACCGATTAAAGGACAGACCAGACGCCATGGAGACGTAGCTATAAATCATCATCATGTGGCTACACATACAGATACATCATTACCAATACATTGAAGATTAGATGTTATCACATATTAACAGGTTCACCTAGATGCGCTTATTCCCAGTCAGAGTATGAATAAGAACGCAACTGGATACGAGATCCTGGTAACGTTAGTCACCGAGCTTCACTGTTACTGTTTCACGTTACACAAATTGTAAACCGCAGTGAGAGAAAAAGACAAATGAGTTGAATGAATGGAATATTTTAATTACACAATCACTATGATGTGCAGTTGTTAACCTACAGACACAACACAATGAAACATGGACGCAATTAGTCTTCGTTCCCATGTGGGGACTATAACGTAACGTTACCTTTGCGTGGTGCCAGCGTCCTTTCTTCAGCGCGTCGGCTGCTGAGAGTGAGCTTCGGTATTGTTAAAGCGTCGGATGGTCACCGTTGTAACGTTGTCTCCATCTGAAACGTGATACCTGCGAGCGGGGCGCGTTCAGCGCCGTCAACGCGTTTAACAAAACGTTTGAAATTAGATGATAGCAGTGTGTTGGAAGGGCTATTTCAAATGGTTGTCCGTTTGAAACGGTGTCGCCTTTAAATCGTGTTTGGATGACACCCAGATGGAGAGCGTAATCGTGACAACATATTCCAGACGCTGTCGCGAAACGTTGCGCTCAAACGAAACAGCTGGTTCGAAATCGTTGCAAATCCGCCGAGTCGAAATGTTTGAACTTGAACGCACCCTGGATGATGGACCGTAATAAAGGATAGCGTTATCTATTGTTGAGGAAGCCTCCTAGTTCAATAATTATATTTTAACCTGTGACAGACCAAACGTGGTCTTCATCACCACGTGGACATACATATGGATGACAGAAAGGTGGCACTATCAGCACAGCACCGGCTATTGTGCAACTGTACGGAGTGAATCTTACAGTAGCTCCACGGTAATGTGAGGTCAAGTGCAATGGGACCATAAGCCTGAATACCTTTTCCTGCACTGACTTCACATGGGGCTTGAATGCCAGGCGAAGGAATCCTCCTCAAAGTGTTAGTCAGCGATAATGCTCACTGCGCTGCACTCCCTCTTTTCTCCTCACATGTTCACCAGCATCACAACATTCCCAAAGAGTCTACTTTCTGGGGAAACAAGCTCCCTCTCTATTACTTTATATACAGACACATTATGAACACAATATGGCAATGGCTCCGTCAGTAACTTAATAGCTAATAAGACTTGTGAGTTGGGTTCTCACCCCCTGATCTGACAGTGAATACACACCTTGGGTGCTGATAGTTTCAAGGTCCCTTGTCCTTCCTGAGAAGCTTAGCCGAACTCCACACCTGTTGTTTACTGTTATTTCCTGTAACGCTGTATATAATCAAGGCCAGAACTTGCTCTGGTCAGAGAGTATTCTACAGCGTAGTAGTGAGTATATTTTCACCCTTTTTAAGACCCTGTTAAGTCATTGCACCTTTCACCATGGCAGAGCCTGTACTTCATCCCCATACCTCATCAATATCTCCAATAAAATCTATTTCAGTGGAAATTCCAAATGCATGTGAAATTGACCCAAATCCTCCAAAGGTCAAATATCACAGTCAATTTCTTATGCTGCGGCCCAACCAAAACAATAGAAGTGTTGTTTGAAGAAACATATCAAATGGTTGTTTCTACAAAGCCTCCTGTCGGCCTGGCTGGCTAATGTGTATCATATAACCTTTACGTGCTGGTTGGGGTTCATCCTGGAATCTCTTTGTACAAGAAGAACAAAAATCAGTGACCCAAACATAACAAAAACAACCTTTATTTTATAATTCTTTAGGTGTTATTAACGGTGTGGTATCTATCTGCCGTATTTGTACTTGTGGCATGAGAGTGAATTGTGTTACTGTCGATTTAGATATCAGGGTTTGCCTGTGTGAGCTCCTCGTCGTGGGCCGCTGACTGTGGGTGGTTGAGAATTACGAGCCCTTTCCTTGCAGAGTCAGAGGTGCACAGGATCCAGTGGTTGTTGTCCTGCTCGCCTCTGCACGAGTTCAGGAAGGTGTGAGCCGTCAGCTCATACTCGTTGCCGTATGGGGTCCTGCAGAGACACGACTGTTACATACACAACCACAGATGGCATGCAGGCATTGTGACATGACTTTTAGCTGCCATATTGGAGGTCCTCATCTTTTGAGTAGCTGTGAAAAGCGGACTGCAGCTTGATCCAAGTGAATCTACATGGTGTGTTTCTGTTACATTTTGACAGGGCTGATTATTTTTGTTAAGATGTATCAAATATTTTGTTTGGGTTAAGAAAGCTGATTCGTCGCGAGCTACAACTGACTGGGTCAGAGTTAGGTTTCTCATGTCACTGTAAAAACACAAGTCCTATCAGGCTGTCTGCTTGTACCTACAGTTAGCTGACGTACATTAACATTGCAGTTTTCTTGCTCTGGTATCTCCTTTGTGGATCTCACATATTTAGATATTATTTGTGCCAATTCTTCAGTGGACCTCCAAATTGACATCCGACATGAAATTGAAGGCGTTTCTATCGCATTTAACACGGTAACATAAGGTTTTGGGTTCTTTTTAGAATTATAAATGGAAAATACCAAATGACATGTTGTCCCAGCACAGCAAGAGCCTGGTTTGTCTTGCAGTGTTTGATCAGCACTCTCACATTAGCCTGTAGAAAAAATGATCACGATTGCATGGACATTCTCAATGCCATAGAGGAAAAGGAAAGTTACAGTTCAGCTACAGATTTAAGAGAACACTAAATGCTGATGTTGCAACAGGTGTAATAGTTAACCATGACGACCCATTAAATACTTACCGGAACAGGCTGACCGTCATATTCGAGCCTCTCCTGGGGTTCAAAGTGGACTATCTTCCACCATGACGTGAAGGAACCGCTGTCATCCAACGTTACTTCCTGTAGCCTGGACTTCTTGGCACACTTTAAAGGAAGTCATAATAATATGAGACTGACAATAGCAGAAAATCCAGTGAAAAGGACAAACACAGCGGCTGCATTCTGCACTTTATGCACGTAAGCTCGGCAGCTCGGCTTTGTTAAACTTCTCATCACAGATGGTGGTTGTTCAGTGTAATGTATTCTACTCGATGGTCTTCAATAATTAATTCATGTTAAAAATTAATCTACCTTTTCAAAACTTTTTATGTCACTCGTCAGGTAAAGCTGTGGAGAGAAAGGAAGAGAAATGTGTAAACACAAAGTTAGTTAGTTTTAGTTTAGACAGACAGACAGAAACACACACAGACAGACATAGAAGTATTTTAAATGGCACAATTTATCATCACATTTGTCGTCCAAAAAGTACTTAAATGCGTGTGTGTGTGTGTGTGTGTGTGTGTGTGTGTGTGAATGTTAGATCACTTACACCACCAGCAAAGCCACTTGTTGTTTTTAGAGCAAAACTTTGCTCGAAATGCAGAGTCGACCCTTCAGGACTGCCATCAACACTGTAGTCAGAGAAGCAACATTACAGGTTTACATCTGGGAGTGTTATTTGTGAGATACATTTACATTTAATTGATTGTCAATTCATCAAAATCTAGGCTGAACACTGTTGTATACTCATTGTTTTTCTTTAGTTTTCGTGAGTAAATTTCTTATACTGTAATGAGTGTAATATCAAAAACGGCCAGCAGATGTCGCCATCTCACCACTAGGGGGGTCTGTCTGTGCAAAGACGGAAATAAAGTGATTTCATATTTGGCAAGTCACTTAGAACCCCCCGCCATCATACACTGACGAGAGGGCAACATATTGCCATGTGTATTGATGGGTGTGTTGATGTAGTTTTAAGCGAGTTTGTGCGTGTACCTGGTGATGATGAAGGCAGTGCGCACGCAGCCCTGAATACCTTTCCCTGCACTGACTTCACATGGGGCCTGAATGCCAGGCGAAGGGCTCCTCCTCACGCTGTTAATGTCTGCGTTAATGCTCACTGCACTGCACGCCCTCTTTTCTCCTCCCATGTTCACCAGCATCACAACATTCCCAAAGTGCAATCTCCCATCATCTGTCACAGTGAGATTCACCTGGACACGTGAACAAACAACATTATCATTGCCATCCACATCAGCATTGTGATATCATTGTTGTCATTGATGGTGGTATATAATTAGCATAAATTATTTTTACCGGTCTCAAAATGTTCTGTTTGAGGAAGTCTACTTTCTGGGCAACAAGCTCACCCCTCTCTTTTTTCTGGGGATCTTTCTTTGCATCCTGGAAACACATCAACATATATCACTGAATAACCTGCATATACAAACAAACAAATAGCTTACGATACACCCGACGGCTACAAGGCTGCACGTTGTATTTAAACAGTTATAGTGTTGCTTAATAAATACAAAGTAATTGTTGCCTGTGTCACGTGGTCTTCTTTGTCCTGTAAGTAGAGAAACTGTGGATGTGTTACTAATGACGTTAGCTGAGATGAACGACGTGCCACTAGCTGTTACGTGACGTTATGTTACGTAGATTAAACGTTAGCTACGCTAGCTAAAAGTTGAGAGCTAGCTATTAGCTATTGTTAGCAAATTATATTTTGAACAAACCTCGCAGAGCACGTCCTCAAACCAGTTTCCGGTCTTCACTTTGTAGCTATAACTTCTCGAATGAGTCATGCTGGAAAATAATGCTGACAACTATCCGTATGCTAATAATATAATACAATACGTTAACCTACTTTTGGTGTTTGCCCCGATAGACGTAGCTAGAATTAGCATGTGTATGGTGGTTTCTATGGCAACTGATGACCAGACATCTTCTGTCAGTTCCCGCGTATTGTCACGAGAGGGCGTGCTAGTCCAGCAACTGATACCCAGAGCCAGTGAGATCATTCGTGTCCCATGCGAGCAGGACGAACTCATGAAATATATAGTTTATAAACATAAATACACAAACAGAAAATCACAGTTTTAAAAACAGTTCCTGTTGTGCTTTGCATCGATGTGCCCCGCCAAACAAGCACATACCCAAACATGTGGGATTAACATGTCATCATTGCCACTATCGTCATACCTATCCCCAACAACATACAAAAATGAAAGAAAAAAAACATATGAAAGGAGTCTTCCTCTATTTAATAAGAAGTAGAATAAGTTGTTAAATGTTCTGAATTCCAAAACCATTCAGAAATCAGTTTATGTATGTATAATCTTTCACAGTTCCTTTGGAAATGACATTCTGCTGAATTAAATACTACTGCAAATGGAGACTAAATGAGTCGAGGAGCAATCAGTCCTGCTGTCCATTTTCCTCTTTTATCTCCGTCTGTCTGTGTCAGTAACCATTGGCTCTGCCTCTGGCTCCAGAGCCATTTATGTGACTCAGTTTGTGGCGTCTGTCCTTCGGTGAGTCACTGTCGTCATCCTCCTCTTCCTCACTCCTGTCGTCGCCTTCCAGCTACATGAAGATGAGCCAGAGAGAAGAGGTTGAAAAGACTCATACATTCATGCATTTCCTTCACATAAATGAATATAAACATAGAAACACACCTTGCTAAAGATAAACTTGTAAGCCATTTGGGATATAAGAACAGCCCAGTAGAGGTGGAGTATCTGAAGAACCAACAACATCACATTGGAGAAGTAGTAGCCAAAGAAAGGAGCAACCTCCTCCAGTGGGTACACCCATGTACAGTGGATCAGCCTGTAGAAGATATGCAAACATAATATTTTTAACACATTACTCCAAGATCGTCTCCATGCATCATCCTTCCATTTCCCACACTTACCAGAAAGGAAAAATGATAAGTCTTGTCAGAATAAAGACAACTGTAAACACCACAAACATGGCATTAGCAGTCTGGTGCCACTTGGCATAGTTGAAAACCTTTGCACCCTGTGAGATAAAAACAGGAAAAACAATCATGCACTTTTTTGTTTAAAAAGGTATTGTTTATGGTCTGTCATAAAGTCACTGCAGGCATGTTTGCTAGAGAGTTTTAGTTGAATCAAGTGATAATTCCCATATAAGAGGGATATTTTTTCCCTATGCTAAGGCAGGAGATTGACATATTATAATAAATACATGTACAAATTTACAGTGTTACATTTTTGCAAAAACTGCAGTACGTTAAATTAAAGTCATGTAGTGTTGCTTTTACAGCTATTAATAGTGATGACGCCAACCTCATCCCGCTTTAGTCATCTCAAATGTGATACTTATTGTTACCCGTGAATCTGATTGGGACTTTTTTTTTTTTTTACTTTTGAGCTGCTTAAATGAAAAAAAAGAGAACATGTGAAGAAATGTATGGTGGGGCATGGCAACCGCCTTCCACATAGCTGTTCAAAGTCAAATCAATGTTTATACAGCATGGAGGGGCTGTACAGGTGGGTCCTGTAGATTTTATCCACACTATCTTGAGTGCAGCTTTTAGGCTTTACATCAAACTACTGACACGGCGACTAAACCACATGCATTACCTTAGAAGCGAATTGTTGTGCTTTTATTTGAAGATGTAAAAATTCTGCTTTGCAATCTTCAATGTATTTTGATCATTGCTGCAGAACTGTGACCATTCAAAATCACAGTTATCTTCTACAGCCTACAAATGACAATAGATATCACGCAGATTAGCTTGCACATGCGCTGATGTAAAAACCAGCACTGACCTCTAGCAGTATGTCAGCAGAGTCATGAACTGCCATCACAAGGGTTCCAATACGAATGTAGTTTGAAATCCAAGAGAAACTCAGAAGAGTCAGTGTGGCTATGTGATGGATCACCTGCTCTTTAAAGTCCTACACAAATACAGCAGTGTGCATATGACACAAAGACATCCAGAACGTATTGCATCTTTATAACATTAAACGGAAATACATGGTTTGGTTCATGTGCAGTACTTCACTTTGATTTTGGACACACATCAGCATACTCACCTTCCGTTTCACATCAAGTGTGAGGCTGAGGAGCAGAGAAAGGTAGAAGCCCATTTCCAAGAGGTAATAAAAGTACTGAGACGGCAGCATGGACTGCATGGACACACAGCACACGCACTTAGATATTTGTATACTGTAATATTGTACAAGCCACCCAGATAGCAGTGGCAAAAACACTTACCTGTTTAGGGAAGCCTGCCCAAACCTCCTTCAGATTATAAAGCCAAGGTTTCTTCAGCCAACAAAAACAGAGAGGGAAATAAGTGTGAGTGTGAGGGGGGGGAATAGCCTTGAAAAAGGGTAAATGTTAGCCAACGAGCTCATGCATGATTATCTGCCATACCAACTGTCAGCGTGTGAGAATAACCCTGAAGCACAAAAAGACATGAGATAAGAAGAGAGACAAGGAGGTTCACAGACTGCACATTACAGTGAAATCAGAGCGAATAGAGACAGAAAGACAAAAAAAAAAAAAAGAGAGAACTATCCCAAAGCAGGAAAGGATGGGAAAAATGTACTGACACAGGAGACGAGAGCTACTTACGTCATAGAGAGCGAGGACTCCGCAGACAAATGCAAAAAAATAAAACACACATCTCCAACTGTTGACAGACAATGACGATAATGTTACATATTTACACATGGACACTTGTTCTTATGTCAGTGCTCAATCAAACACAAACCTGGCCTCGCAGAACCTCTTGCAAAGCCCTGGACGCTCCTGGTTCCTCCTTCTCTTGAACCAGATTTGAACTCTCCTTTCCGACCAGCTGGTCTTCTTACACAGAGACCTCACATCAGCCTGAGACACAAGGGAAACAATTCAGTTGTTCCACTCTTTCCACTCTGGGATGCACATTATATACCAGCATTCAAATTGACCCTCTCATGACTTTTGTTTCCTTACCAAGAGAACAACTTCATTCATTGTTAATGCCACACAAAGTCATGTAACCAAAATCTTATATACCATATGTGTGACTGTTGATTAGGATTACTGCATGTGAACAACAAAGCTCCTATGTTTTTCATTGAAATGCTCCTTTTAATATACCTGCGATGGAGCTCTTGCTTGGCTGCAGAAGTAGCTTTCTAGGATGGGGTTTGGCTCTGCTGTCAGACGTACACTGTCCCTGATTCCCCAAACATTAGCCAGTGGTGTGGCCAGGTACCTGCAACAGCACACAAGCAACATTACAGTAAATGTGTGTCCATATATCATCCTGTATTGTCTGGCCTTTAGAGTTCCATAAGTAGCATTGCTCCACACAGTATTTGCAACACAATCCCAGTACTCTGAAACCATACGCTTGCATATTCTCGCCTCTCAAACAGGTATCTGACGAGGAGCAGGCAGAGTGCGCAGGGCAGAGCAGCGTGAAGTTGAGAGGCTTTAGCGTAGACACGACCTTCACTGTCTTCCAGATCAGACCAGGAGACGTTTGCTGGCAGCCACAGACGCTCCCACCACAGCCACTCACTGACTGTCTGCAACATGCTGCTGGAAAACACAGAATACACTCTACAGATACTATAAATTGCAGAACCATGATTAATATATTGTTTCATATTCAGGTTTTGAAATCACATTTTCTGCAATGTAATATAATTAAAGTAAGCGTTGCCCACTCATTTCTAAGAGAGAACATGAGTTCACCGAGTTCTACAAAAAAATGTTTGAATTGTCAATGATTAAGACTGGATTGAAAATAGCATACAACATTGTCAGCCGGAGTGTGCATTCATGAACACATTCATAAACTGGTCACAGGCTGATATGCTAAAATAGCTACGGTGGGGATCTGGTCCACGTGGATTCACAGTCAAAAGTGCACCACTGTCTTTGTCTTGAATATAGAGCACCAATTTTCAGCTGTGGCCACTTCTGGTCTCTTTCAGTACACTTACACTTAGGACATGCAGTCACAAAAGGAAGTGAGTAATTTGGAGATGGAGTACAATAGATATCAAAGGGCAAGGAAGATAAAGAAGTGTGAGGAGCAATTTAAAATGAAGAAAGATTAGAAGAGAAGTCCTTTCTCTGGACTCTGCCCAGAGTGCAGATAAACAAGTTATTTGAACAGTTAGAAAACTATCAAAATGTGAAATCAAGGTCATAAATAATGAATTCCTGTGATGCCCAGATTTAACCACTGGGATGCAGTATTACTCATATCAGTGTGTCCCTGAACCTCAATGTTATTAAGTCAGCATCAGAAAACAAGCATACCTGCAGCCGGTTTTGCTTTACAAGTACCAACCGAAGAGAGGGAAGCTGAGGAAGATGGTGGACACAGACAGAGTGTGTGTGACAAAATTGTTCAAAAGTGAATTATATTGTGTGAAAGCTAAACCTAAACTGAAAATCTCCAGTTCCATACTTACAAAGTGATTTCATATTCAGTCCTTTGTATAGCATGTTTACAGAATACATCCATTAATGTCTGCACATGTCCATACACACACACACACACACACACACACACACACACACACACACACTCACACACTCACACTCACACTCACCTTCAGTATGCCCACTGTGAGACGTACAGGGACCTACTTGCGGGAAGCCAGTCTGTGATTTATACAGTTCATTCATGTAATCCACATCAGATAACAGCCCTTAATAGATCCTATATGTTCACTCTCTCAGCTTGTCTGGAGCCATTCTTCAAAGACACCATAAAAGTAAAGAACAAACGCAAATATGCTTCCCTTAATCTGTACAGTACACCTTATGGTGTGTGAGGCGACAGGCTCCAGTGAGCATGTTGATTTTTTTAAGCATGCCAGTGGTCGCTCACCTGGACAGAAACAATGGGATCCTTCCCTCCCACTCTGTCTGCTCTTGTGATCACACCCTCAATGTTGCAGCAAGTCCTTCAAGGTAAAGTAAGCTCATCGCTGGACTGCCCTTACTTGCTCTTGTAGCAGCAGTCTTTTAAGTGTGGGATAGATACCCTCACCTGCAAGAATTCCCCTTGGAATGCTGGGAAGCCCCCACAAAGGCCCCATTCAGTGTTGCGGCGGGGGAGGCGGAGACAGTGCAGGTTATGGAGAGAGGAGAAAAGGGAACTTTCACGCACAAAAAGAGAGAGAGTGAAACACCACTCTGTATAAATAGCTGCCTGGGACAAACAAGTAACCTCAGTTACATTGAACTATCTTACGGTTCTGTGGGGAAATATTCCTGATTAATTACTGTGGTGGTTGGGCGCAGCTGCAGAGGGGACAGAGTGGGGGTGAGTGGTTCAGCGAACGGTGCCGTGAAGAGGCTTGATTAGCCGCAGCTGAAACGGATCCTTGATTGTCTCTCTCGTATATAAACATTAGTAGGGACGGAGGCGCGACAGAGAAGTAAGCAGGAGACAGGGCGACGGACGACAAACGACAAACGACCCACGACCCACGACCCTGACGAACGCATGTACGGGGGTGCGCTCGGGGGCACGGCAGGAGAGCGCACGGCCGAGACCAGCCTGAACTGCATTAATAACAATAATGAACATTACGAAACGCTATTTGAGTGTGTGCCGGCGTCTTTGTGCGGAAAGGACCCACGGCGGTAACAAGAGGTTGTTACAATTCGTAATTGTGTTTTTTTTAAATATTTAAGCAGGTAAACACTGAAAATGAAAGAGGGATACAAAAGTAAAGCAGCACTTCACTGAACATCTATATTAAAATACAGCAGACTGAATAATTTCTCAATGTTTCACTACACACCAGAGGGGGGCAACAGAGACAACACAATAGACTGTCATCTCCAAATTAGGATTTACTAGTGACGTTGGTGTGTTGCTGTTAGTCTCGTATTGAGAACTTTATTCAGTTTACGGTCTCTGAAAATAAATGATGTTAATTGGCATCTCTTACATTCTCTGAATATGTAAATTCTTCACATAAGCTGCAAAACATATAACACTTTCAATTTCGCCTGCTGTCAAAGCTCTCGTGGCTATAATGCAACATGACAAACCATGACCTTGAGATTTCAGAGATAAAAGCAGATATCAAAAATATGTCCTTTTATTATAATTTTACATTTTTATATATCAAAACATCTAAAAATAAACGGTAGCGCTACAAGCATAAGTGTTGATACTAGCTTTGCTGTATATATGTCCTTCTTTCTCTGGTCTACAAGGCAGCACTGCTGCATGTGTGGGGCTGATAAACAGAGGAGCAGTGGCTATTGAGCTGTGAAAACGAACCATGAAAAACAATCAAAAAAAATATGGAAAAACAAGAGGTTGAAGTTCAAGTGGTATAGTTTTCGAGCATGGAAGGGAGAGTTTCAGAGCAGTCTTTCTCTGAATAGTCAAGTAGTCTCCTTGTCAGGGTCAGGCCCTAAACCACTGAGGGGCTGACCCTGAAGATTAAGAGGGTCAAAAGGACGTTCAGTCGATCTGGATGGTCTATGCAAATACGGAGGACAGACGGAGGTCTCCAGGCACAGACGGGAGAAACTAATCTGGATAGTCCTCCCCCTCCCTCTGCCACAATTTGTCTCTTTCCCTTGGCTTCCAGCTTGTCCTCATACTGGCGCTTTGCGTTTCAGTTCACTGGGGGAAGGGAGGATGCAGCTTTGTGAAGCTGGTGGAATGGCTAGGCTTGGTGGAAGGCTCCTCAGGACCAGGGGCTCTGTGTCGGGGTGGCAGGGTGGAGCACCGGGCTTTGCCCCTGGAGCGTGGCTGCTGAGGCGGAGGGCCTTTCAGCACGAATAGTTCACTGGGGGCTTCGGGCTGTTGGGCTGATGGGGACTGTGTGGGATGCGGAGATGATGGCGACACAGGTGTGTGTGGGGGAGGGAACGGGTTGGTTGAGGATGAGGCTGATAATGAAGAGCCCAGAGGAAGCAGGGGAATAAGTGTTGGCGCCTGCTGGAACCTTGTGAGGCTGGTGGAGTGGCTTGGCCGTGGCAGGCTGTAGCAAGCCTCAGACCCTTTGTGGCGGGAAGGCAGGGTGGAACAGCGGGCCTTTCCCCTTGAGCCTTGCTCTCTGGGAGGAGGAGCAATAAGTGAGAAGAGCCTAGTGTCGCAATCGGATGTCATTTCTGCTCTGGAGCCCTTTAGACTCTGAGATGAGCTTCTTTGAGATGATGGATGTGACAGAGGCTCCTGGTCTTTCTGGTGTTCCTGTTTGGACTCTGAGCGGGGAAACTCTGTATCTCTGGCTGCGCTCGATGGGAGTTCTTCATCTACGTGAGAAGAAATGAAAGAAGAAGAAAAATTAATCTCTAGACACAAACACGACCAAAAAAAGAAGACAACAGATACATAAGGTTTTCTCCTCTCACCTAACAGGCCCAGCTCACTCATGAGTTTGTCCAGATCGACAGTAAAATCCTCCATCTCAACTGCTTTATCGTCAACTTCCTTTTCTTCTTCTTTTCTTTGATCTATTTCCTCTTTTTCTTCTCCCTCTTGCTCATTATCTCCCTTTCCTTCCTCTTTATTTACTTCTCCATCTTTTTCCTTTTCTTCCCCTTCGACCTCTCCACCCTCATCTTCTCCATCTCCTCCTCGCTTTTCCTGTCCATTTTCTTCAACTTCTTCGAATGACTTCCCAACCTCTGGATCACTGTCACTGCTCCTCCTCTGTTCATCCAGATTGATCTCAACCCTTTCCTCTTCCACTTGTTGCTCCTCTATTTCTTCCGGTGGTGCCTCCACCACAATGTCTATGTTGGCGTTAGAGCAGAGGATGGAGCGTTTTGGGGAGTGAGATTTGGCACGTGCTTCTTGGTCTTGATTCAGCAGAAACTCCATCAGCATCATGTTCTCTTTCTTCAGCTGTTCCCGCAGAGATCGCGGTACGTCTGGTATCATCCAGGCCACCAACATGCTGAGGAACATGGCGAGGTTCTAAAGGGGAAATGAAACGTTTTTCTTGCAATGTATAAAGAAGAAGAAGTATCAGGTGAGAAACAGTTGGTTTGGCGCATACCTCCTTGTTTCTAATATTATATCTGTGCCAGCAATAAAGACAAGACAATGGTGAAGAATGAGTGAAGATAGAAAAAAGGCCTTTGCTATTGGGTGCACACCTGCCATTAAAGATATCTATATATCTAATGGGTGCAATGGTGTACATGGATTTGAGTGGGAAAGACTTGGAGATCTGAGACCACTTTTTAGACGGACATTAACATAAGCACAATTGTAAACATATCCATACCTGGAAGAATATGACGAAGGCCAATTTTGCAGCCAGAACCGACCAGTACTGTTTAGAGAAGGTGTAGGCATCTGGGTCCCAAGGTGGGTCTCTGTAGTCCTTATACCTTAAAAAAATACAAACAGTAAATTTGCAAGGAGGAATCTAGACTAACTGAAGGAACACGTTAACACAACAAGAGAAAAATTTCATACTTCTTAGGGAGATTTGCCTCAGTAAAATCCCTACATAAACGACACATTTTACACTTTCAGAGTGGCCTCAAGGACTTAAAGGAAAATCCAGGTAGGTCAGGGTTAAAAGAGTCACTCTGACCTGCACATAGAGACTCCGGTGATGAGGGTGGTGGTGGACGCACTACCCGGTGAGAAGTTGCTGATATTAAAGTAGGACAGTGAGTGCTCTGTGTAGCCATTCATGGTGCCATTTACACTGTACATGTACTGGTAAACCATGCGTGGAACAAACTCTGATGTGAAGGAGATGACAAACGCCTGAGAAGACAAACAAGGAGTGGAAATGACACATTGACTAGTCATCAGCTATATTCAACTTTATGTTAGGCTAAAACTTTAATCATATCAATATTTTAACATCAATAGTGTTATCTACCTCCAACAATTAGATTCATTTTGATAATACTTTTGTGAATTGTCTCCACATTACTGTATTACTGAGAGATCGAACCAAAAGAAACAGTTTTACACAACAGGAAACAGCTCACAGGGGCATCTCAATAGTAAGAAAAGTACAGGTGAAAATGACTGTTAATGTTAAATTGACAGAAACTATCCAAGTAAGCTGTTCCAGTGAGCCAGCATGCACCAAATGACCTCCCCTAAGTGGATTAAAGCCATCACTAATGTTACTAAATAAACCTGTACCATTCCTCCTATGACAAGTCTAAAATTTCTGTTTTGATAAAAGTCTATTTGCCCCTCCCCCTTACCCCGCTGGTGGGATCCCATCGCAAGAAGGTCTCTAGTTATGAGTAGTCCCCTTTTTGTGACGTGAAACACATTCCTACCACCGGTTTTCTGCGACTCCAGTGATAGACAGGTGGCTTAGGTAATGTGTAAATTAGTGTACCATTGCAGCAACAAAGGCAAAGGGAAAGAACACTGCCAGCTAGAAACATGAACGTAAATTCATTCAAGCTAATTATTCCAAAAACTTAAGATACACACAATGTGTTTTGGTGAGAAACAGAGTTTGTTGAAAACACATGGTAAGGATTCAAGAAGTACATTGTTGTGCACATCACTTTAGTAGAACACTCTACCAGAGGTCAAAGGTTATGGGCACAATAAACATATACTCACTCACTCACTCATTCACACACTTACATTGGTAATGACAGAGAACTTGCTGATTCCACAGAGAATGTTGTACCAAATCCCTGGAAAAAGCATGTGCATGAAAAGAGACAGAGAGGGAAAGGGAAGTGTGTGTGTGTGTATTTGTGTAAAAGTGACAGACAGACAGACATGGAGACAAAGAGACAAAAAACGGAGGGACAGAGTGGAGTAAAGGAAAATAAAGTGATTAAAAGCTCCAGGATAGTTTGATTCACATTCACACAGAGACTGACGGAGTGGACACACTCTCATGTGTCATCTATACCTATGTCTTTACACCTCACGGGATCAGGCCGTCGGAGCTCAGTCACAAATTTTGCAGCATCGAGGCGAATCTCAATGACATTGTTGAGCAGAGCGAACGCTGGCGCCAGCGGGAAGGAGGCCACAAACAGAGACACGAACCCATACTGGATCACTGTAAATATGAATACACACACATAGTTAAAAAATCATGTTATGTGATTGCAGCAGTGGGTGGCTCAGTAAATAATAGAGTGAAACTAAAAGAGACTCACTCATCTCCATGTACTCTGGGGTCACGCCTTCATAGGGCTCAAGAGCGAAATCTTTGTCAAATTGTTGCTTCGGTCGCTTCTCTTCTGTATCATTCTCCTCTTTTTCTGCTGCTCTTTTCTTTCCTTTTTCTTCTTGTATTGTTCTGTACATCTTTTTCAGCTTACTGCAAAAAAAGAAAAAATGAAGCAGAGGATGGAGTCAGAGCAAAGAT